GACTGTTTTATAAGGTATTTCGGAGGTTAGTGGGTTTTTTTGGGAGACAGTGGTGAGGACTCCTGAGATGGGAAGAGAACCTCACTGAGATTTAGAGTCTCTCCTGCTAAATACATTTTGCTGTCTATCAGGTGAGATTGAACGTGTCTGTGTGCTTTGAAGCCATTCTCTTTCACTTGGGTCACAGGATATTTCCGAGGACATGACTGGGATCCACATGGGGGGTCTCATGTACTATAAACGTACTAAGTGGTAACAAGTCTCGTCTGGGCAACAGTCCTGTAAGCACCCCGAATGTAACATATTTCCTGGGCAGGGGGGAAAGAAATTACATACATAGTTATGGTTATAATACACCTTTCCCTCCATGTCTAGTCCATCCTCCAGGGAACCTCAATGATGTAATTCTGTCTCAAACCTTGTCACGGTTCTTTAGTGCCTGCAGCATAAGGCAGAAGTCCATGCATGATCAAAGGCCATTGGGGGGCCTGTCCTGCCCCTTTCCCAGACAGTGCCCCCCAGTCACCCTCCAATCCAACTCTGCCCCTGTCCCTCCCCCAACTGAATGCACTTTTCGCCATGCCACGTCTTCACAAATGCCACTGCTCCCAACCCTCCCAGCACTGGCAATCCTTCTCAGCTTCAATTGCATTGGATCCTTACTTGGCTCCCTGCCCTGGGCTCTGCACCATCTGAGGTCAGGAAACTAGCTTTATTTATCTCTGCATTTCAAGAACCTAGCCCAATGCTTGGCCCGTGCACAGCAGACAGTTGGTAACTGTTGGCTGAATAAAAGGCAGGACAGCGTAAATGGAAGAAAGGACGTAAAATTTGTTAACAGTCCATGTTTATCTCCCTTTTGTGAAGTCCTAGCTTTGGGTTTAGTCTTAACTTCCTTGTTTGAATTTACCTGTGTCCCCCATTAAGCATAAACCAAAAGGTCATTTTCTAAGCTTGGAAAGGATTTGAGAGAGATAAACGTGGTAAGTTTTTTACCTTTTGATTAAAAAAAAAAATGAAGCCAGTATGACAAAATTCATTATTTGTTAATTTTGAGTATGGGTATAGTATAAAAATCCCTGGTTGAAAGAAAAAAAGGAAAAGAGAAATTGAAATTTACATATATACACACACTTATTTTTAAGATAGTAGACATTTGATTATTAAAAAGTTATTGGGTGGTGCTTGGTTTTGGTTTTGGCATATTCTTAAAAAGGGCTGGGGTAACATCTGCAAAGGGTGATGAATTGTCATTGGGTTGGGGTCTGCTCATTGAAAAATGAGGAGTGGATTGTGAAGAACTGAAAATCCAGAAACTTAATAGTAGCAAAAGTACAAAAGGTGGCCAAAAATTTCTGTGGCTGTATGTTAGACTAGTACTAGATTTAATAAGGGATGCACGTTCTTTCTTAGAATATTTTTTGTTTTCAAAATAGATGGACTCCTCCATTTCCTGTCTTAAACAACTTGCACTAAAATTCCTGAAGTATTTGTTTACATCAGAAAAAACTCAATCATTTCTACTTTTTTTGGCTTAGAAAATTACTCAGTTTCTTAATGCATTAAAATTACATGGCAGATATTAAATAAAGAAAATATAGCACAATTAACTGAAAAATTAAGCATAAAAACATTTTAATTTGAGGTGTCTTGATGTGTTACTAACAAATATTGTAGATAATATCCAGCCTCAACAAACTAACCAGGAGGTTATATATTAACTATACATTTCTGAATGTTATTGTAAATGTCTTGAGGGCAAGAACAATCGTTTTTACCTACCACAAGAACTACCAGGCATCTACATAATAAATAATGCCAAGGAGGACTGTGTCTTCACACAGTAACAGTCTATAATGGCCATTTTCAAGGTAGTCAAGAAACCCCCCAAAAACAAGATTTAGAAACTCAATGAATAAGGAAGCATACGTTAAAAACCACCTTTCATGTAGTTACATCTCTTCATAACACAGCACAGAAGGATTAAATGCTGTTTTATACTGATATTCACAACCTGTTAACCTCACTGTTGTCATTCTGGGAGGATCAAGGAAAATGATTCATTAAAAAGCCCTCAAGACTTCAATTGCACACATTCTCTTGTTATCTTATTTTTCAAAATGCCAAAACTAAGAACTGTCTCACCTTTTAATACCTCACACGGTTAACGGCTGCTCAGTGAGGAATATGGCCTGAGGTTCTGTGAAGTTAAGAGTAACGGAACAGGATTCCATTTCTTTTCACCTGAATTTGGGAGTATTAGCTTATGTTTTAAACCTGTTATCATAAATACCTTACAAATGCTGAGCTGTTGGGCTTTATTTTCTTATTGTGGGGATAACGTTTTTCTAGAATTTCTCTACTGGAGGTGGAAGAGAACTATGTGTGGCTCTTCAATCCACTGCTCAATCCTAAAGAGTTGCTGAAATGATCTGAGAGGCTGGATCAATTCACAGGCACAGTCCACTGGTTTCTTTCAAAGTTTTTGTCATGGCCTAATCCAGGGTGGCAGTGGGGGCCCTACCCAGGGGCTCCTCTTGAGTTCCCGAAAAAGTCAGGACACAGATTTGCTACAGGGACCGGGTGACTTGGGTCAGAATGGCATTTGTTTACTCTGGGGACAGGGATGGAGGAGGTGATGGCCTGGATGGTGTGACCAGCTATGAATTGCTGACCGTGATTTGCTTTCATGAGAAGAGAGCATCACATGCAGAAGGAAATTTAGAAGTATTGTTATTGCAATGCTCTAAACTTACTCTTATGTATTTTTTAAAATTCTAGTTTGAAAGAATTTCAAACTTACAGAAAAATTTCAATAATAGCACCAAGACCCCTGAGTACTCTTCATCCAGGCTCAGCAAATGTTATTTTGCCACAGCTGCTGTTTCTCTTTCATTCTCTTTGTTTATACATACACATTCTCACACATGTTTCTTGAGCCATTTGAGATGAAGTTGCCTACATTGTGTCCCTTTACCCCTTAATATTTCAGTATGTATTTTATTTTCTAAGAACAAGAATATTCTAAGAACAAGACTGACCACAGTCAGTACAGATACCAAATCTAGAAGTTCGATAATAGAAAACAATGAACTAACCTACAGTCCAATTTCATCAACTAACTCTAAAATGTCCTTTCACCAAAAAAACAATTTCCAGTACAGAATCTGTTCCAGGATCATGTATGGCATTTAGCTAGCATGCCTCCCTAAATCTCCTGCAATCAGGGGCAGTCTGTGACATCAGCACTGTTGGAGAACACTGATCAGGTCAGGTATTTTAAAGAACGTCCTTCAAATTGGGATTGTCTGCTTTTCCCTTACAAGCACAGTTACACATTTCTGATGGTAACACATGACAGATGTGTCCTTCTCAGGGCATGCCCACAATGCTCTTTGTTCCATTATTGGTAATGTTAACTCTGATAACTTAGTTAAGTTGAAGTCCAATTTCTCTATACAGTTACTATTTTCCTTTTGTAATAAGTAACTTGTAGGTAGAGACTTGGAGATTATATAAATAGACTGTTCTTCATATAATATTGATTTTTCCCTGAATTGATTTTTATTCTGATAGTTGCAAAACTCTAATTTTCCAATACTATCTTTTTTTTTTCTTTTTTAGCTGAGCCATCCTGCCACCTGTTGGTAGCTCAGCGGCAGCTCAGCTCAGGCCGGGAATTGAACCAGCAACCCTGTTGTTGCTCAGAGCTCACACTCTTGAGCGAGCTCTTAACCAACTGAGCCACTCGGCTGGCCCTCCATCATTCTTTCTTTATTTATTACTTTACATTCTACTGAAAAAAAAAGCATTTCCCTTATCCTTGAGGCTATATTTATATAAATATTTATTTACCTATTACTATAAGCATGAACTCATGGATTCTCACCCCCAACCCCTGCCCCATGGATTATATTATAGTACTGTCCTTATTTATTTTGATACTCAAACCTGACAGCTCAGATATGGCCAGTGGGAACCCCCAGGCTGGCTCCAGCATCGCTGTGGCATGCCCCTCAGTTATGAGGCATTTCCTACATTCCTTGCATATGGTGGTTGGTCCAGGGTCACCTTGTGCCTTCCTTATCCTGGGCCTGGAACCCACCATTTCTCTAAAGAGGCTGGTTCCGATTAGTGGGTGAAAGTATTTAGAAACTAGATCTGGGCACTAAGTGTGTGCTCAGTGCTCCTGCGATGCTTCTGATTCCTTTCGGTCGACAGATCTAAGATACGTGCACACACACACATAGTTATTAAATTGAGAGTTTATGCTGGTATCTCTAATTCCTATCCAACCACACAGGATTCTTCCTTGCCCTCCCCTGTTCTGTAGTTTTATTTTCCTTCAACAGTAAGACCAACCTATTTCCTCATTTGTTCAAATCTATAATACATAATTAACATAATTTCAGAATTGATGCACATATGCCACTATAAAAAATAAACCTATGAAAAGTTTACGACTTCTTTGCAGTTTTTTTCTTTAGTCAGAGGGCACATTATGTTCAAAAGTTACTGAAATTAAGTCTCCCCCCCCCATGACTATATTATTCATTTAAAAATCAGTTGGATCATTCATTTCTGTTTCTTTTTAGTTTTACGCATGTCCCTATCAATTTGCTTTTTGAATATGTAAAACATTAACTTGATTCCTAAAGTCAAAACCATACAAAAGGTGTGCTCAGGAAAGCACCACTTTCTCCCCATCTAGCTGCCTCCTTCTCTCCCACCCCTGATAGGGAACCAACTTCAATAGTTTCTTACAGATTTTAAAATAAGTGATCTCAATGTATCTGCTTTCAACCCATGCCGTCCTCAAACTCAATAGGACCCACAGTAGCCAATAAAGGCCCAAAATGTCGATAATTGCTACAGGTGGCAGTTTAAATGTTATCAAAACCTTTCTATTTATGTGCTCGATTTCTTTTAAGTCTTGTTCACCAAAACTGCTTGAAGTCTGAAGCACTGGTTTAGGGCAAATGCCAGGTGTTACCAATTACCTGTTCCTCAGAAACCTCCAGAGGAGGGGATGCTTGCTGTTCAGACCGCCGACCATCCTGATAGTTTATATTTTGTCTTTGACGTAAAGGTGGGAAGAGACGATTCCAATTGATCATTCCTCCCTAAAAAGAGATCAATACACAAGGATCAGACACAGATGGGGAAAAACCATCATAATGCTTGGGAGAGCTTTCTCTTACAAGGCAGTCACATCCATAGACTAGGAAAGAAAATCTCATATTGATCTGCTGTATGCAAGCAATCTAAATTCTAAAGTATTCCACCACCCTTCAATCAATAGGCTACAATTGGCACTGGCAGTAGGTGCACAGCAAGAAGAGAGGGTAGCGGGTACTGTCAAAGTAACTCATTCAGTTTGGCTCCGCAGACGTTCCTAACCTCAGCCCCACTGTGTCCCCACTGACGTTGTCCCATCTCCATGACTCTACGGCACTCAGGGCTTTGACAGGTGTGACAGGAAAGACGCCATGGAGAGGAGGCGAATTCACTCCACTGATTAAAGAATTCAATCTGGAAAGCTAAACTGTTCAACATTTTAGAAGAAGAGAATATTTTTTATGTCACTGGGATAGCAAACGATTTCTAAAACAAAAATATAAAAAAATAAATCATAAATAAACGGACGGCTAAAAATTATCACAAGTAAGAACTTTTGTATGACTAAAAAACATAAAATTGGAAGACAAAGTACAGATTGAGAAAAGATTGCAACACGTAACTGACAAAGAATAGTACCTTGAGTATATAAAGAACACTTATAAATCAATGAGAAAAAAAGATTCAAGAGAAAAGTGGCTAATATATATGAACAGACAATTTACAGAAGAGAAAAGCCTGAGTCAAAACATAAGATGTTCAGGGGCCGGCCGAGTGGCATGGTGGTTAAGAGCTGGCTTGGGATGCCAGAGGGCCCCGGTTTGGATCCCACATGAGGGCCAGTGACGCTGTGCCCTCTACAGCTAAGATGGTGAACAACAGCTTGACCTGGAGCTGGGCTGCTGCCAGTGCCGGCGACGGAGTAGGCTGCAGTGAGGCTGCAGTGGGCTGCCGTGAGTGGCCATCCAGGGGCCGGCAACCGATCTGCCTCACCCAGGAAAAGCACAATGATAATACCAACATGGGCCAGTGAAGAGACGTCCTCCACAACTAGACTGAAGAACAAAACGACAGCAACTTGTCTGTTCCCCTTCCCCTGATTCCCCAGCACTGTTCCCCTCCCCCAGATCCCCAATAAAATCTTTAAAAAAAACCCCCCAAAAAACATAAGATGTTCAACCTCACCAGCAGTAGGAAATGCAAATTAAAACAGCAATAAGTATTTGATACCTACAAGACTGGCAAAAATAAGTCTAACAATAGCAAGTATGGGATGATGTGAAGGAAATGGAACTCTATATATTGTTGATGGGAGTATAAATTGGCACAAATATTTTGAACAACAATGTTTCAAGATCTAGTAAAACTGAGGATGTTGTATGAGCCAGCGATTTCATCTATAGGTAGCTACGAGTGCCTAATGGGGCATTTATGAAGATGTTCTGTGAAACGCTGATTATAATATTATGTAAGAAAATGTAAACAATTGAACCGTCCCTAAGTAGGGAAACAAATAAATGGTTCTATTATATAAAAGATTATTATATGAACAGCCAGAATCTAGATGTACTTGGATAAATCTCAAAAATACAATGCTGAATGAACAAAGAAAGTTATATAAAAATATGTATATATTTTTATTTAAATTTATTACCATTTATTAAATTTATACCATTTATTTAAATTTTAAAAACACTCAGAACAATAGTGTACTATTTAAACTATTTTATGACTATGCACTAGTGGTGCTATCCCAGGGGATATATGGAATGTCTGGAGGCATCTTCGGTTGTCTTGTGGGGGGGCCTGGAGGTGGGGGACAGGATGTGGTGCTGCTGGCACCTAATGAGTAGAGGCCAGGGATGCTAAGCATCCTATGATGTACAGGACAGACCTTACAACAAAGAATGGCCCAGACCTAAATGTCCAGAGTGTCTCGGTTGAGAAACCATGACATGTATGCATATGGTAGAATGCAAACATGCACAGGCATTAGGCGTGACACACCAGGACAGTGGGAAGGAGAATGAACCTTTGAGTTTGTAACATTTTATTTCTTCAAAGGGAGTGAGAGTGAAAGAGTAGGCAAAACAAAACAAAACCAAACCCCAATTTCTCTACTCCCGTGATAGTAAAAAAGTGCTTAAAAAGCAGAAAGTTACAGAAGCTCTAGGTTCTAAAATGTTTTGACACTGATCTGCTCTTTATGTAGGGTTAAATACGAGCCTCTACAAACAGGAAACGTTTCCTTCACTTTGTCTTCTTCAAAAGCAGTAACCACATATTCAAAAGAGGAAAAAAGAAACAGCAATATCTGTTATTAGTTGGTAGAGGAGATTTTCAGATGAAGCAACCCACGTTTCAACAAGTTTCCCAGGTGATTCTCATGCTCGCCTGAGTTTGAGAACCATGGCTTTATGCTACTTGCTCTACTTTTGTATACGTTTGAAATAATTTTAATGAAAAGTTAAAAAAATTAAGAAAAATTAAGACCCATCCAAAATGGGTCTGGGTCTAAGCCTCTGAAAAAAAAAAAAAAAGAAAGAAATGAAATTTCTTGTGAAAATAAATAAATGGCTCACTTCCCACCTGAGAGCAGTGAATGTCTAACAGCTTAACAAACAGAAGCTCCACTGCATAGAACTCCGCCTCTGAAGGCTTTGGCAGGATTCGGAATGGGGTGGTCAGGCAGTGTCTGTACTGAGACGTGCCTACACTGGGAAGCTGGGGCAGAAGAGCTCTCCGTAGCTTTCTGGGGTCTCGTAGTCCTTATGGGAGGGTGGGAGCAAGGTGCAGGGTCTAGTCTTGTGCAACTTGGGGCTCATGGTCTCCTGGGGGGAAGGAACGACATGCAGAAATGGAACAGTCAGAACACGGCAAGGTGGTATATAATGAAGAAGGAAGCTGTGTGGCATCAGTTAAAGGGCCAGACGCCTTCTGAGTGGGCATCGACAAACCGCACGCGGCCAAAGCATGGGGGTAAGGCTGTGAAGAGGACAGGCGCTCGGCTGAAGTTTAGAGGAGGATGGTTTCAACAATGGAGATGAGGAACAGGCATTTTTGTAAACCTGTTCAAAGACAGGGGACCAAGAATGGGTCTATCCATACTGCAAGGGTCAAAGCAATGCTAAGGAGCAACGACAGAGGAACAAAAAGGCATTGGAAGTGGAATGACTGACAGCAGACTCTAGAGCCAGAATGCCTGGGTTCAAATCCCAGCTCTGCCACTTACTGTGCGACCTAAGACCTTACTTTTTTTTTTCTTCTGTTTTTTGCTGGTTTGAGTTTTTTATTTGTAGGCCTCGGTTTTTTTTTTGTTTTTTTTTTTTAAAACTTCCCTGAGCCTCAGTTTTCTCATCTGTAAGATGAGAATAATAACTATACTCACCTCATAAGGATTTATGAGAAATGAATGAGTTAATGCATGCAAAGCATTTAAAACAGAGCTTGAAGACCTCTGAAAGACTTCTCTTACACATTAGCTATCATTACTATCTAATGGGTGCATCATGCCTTACAGTGTTATTTCTTGTCTTCCCAACTTGACTACAGGATCCTGCAGGGCTGCGATGGGGGTAAAAGCTGCGTGGACTTCCGGGGTGGCCGGCGCAGCTCCAAGCTCAGTGCAGCCTGAGCCTATCCCCCACCCAAGGCGGTGTTCTGTCAGAGAGCGAAATGGAGGACAATTACAGAGTGGGTATTATGGGTGTGATGGTTTAGAAGAATTAACATTTTTTCCAAAAGCATCCTTGTCTTATTTTAAAAAGGTTAGCCATTGGAAAAAAAAATCATCCTTTATTCTCAGTGTTTGGTGATCCAAAAGCCGTTATCAGTGTGCTAGGTTTTGAAGTATAAGGCGGCAGGCAGGGCCACCTCCACTGTACCGTCTGTGGCTGGCTGCTGACCATGCTGGGAAGGTTCTGGGGAGGGTGTGGGTGGGTTCATCAGAAATGAGTGAGATGACTGTTCAGTGATACTTGCCTTGGCACAGGAGGCGAGATGGCACCTATACATGGAATTACCAACCCTGCTACAGACCACGGTTTTCCAATGTTCTTCACATCATGGCACATACAGAAAAAGATATATCTGTGTAACACACAGAATAGTCAAAGCTGTTTTGCAACTAGCCTGGCAGCTTCAGGCCCTTCCCAGCTACCCCCAGGGCTAAGGGGATCAATATCTCAGCCTATCTGTGACCAGGGCACAGTGGTTGGGAAGTGCTGCCCAGACCCTAAGGAAATACCCAGACCTTTCACGTGAACAGTCTACAATGGGAATGCCCCACCGTGCCGTCTGCTGCATAAGCAAGACCGCCAGCTCCAGGCTCTGTTAATGATAACTCCTAAGTATCTTTGGAATCCATCCATTTCTCTCTACCCTCACTCTCACTGACGTATTTTAGACCACCATCAAGGGTGGGGGTGGCTTCAGAGAGGTTTTCCTAAGATACAAATCTAATCATGTCACTCCTTTACTAAAAACCCTTCAGTGGTTCCCGACTGCCTTTTTATTAATCTTAAAATATTTATTAGTTCATTAATAGCAATCACAAATTCATTACTTGCTAACAATGCTTTCCAAAACAGAAAAAGAATTAGTGAGAAGAAAGTTATTGTTTTCTATTTTTGCCAATCTCTTTTAATGTCTGACTTAATAGAAGATAGTTAGATTCTCACATCTGCTTCTGCATTCAATTCTGTTAGACACTACTTCGGCTTTTGAGGTACATGAAAAAACCTAGCCACACACAGATATACAGTTAGGAAAAAAAGCAGAGCACATCAAGAGCCTTTTCAGGTAACTGTAGGCACTCTCCTTTGATACTACGCATGTCCCCATCGCCTTTAAGGTACAATCTGAACTTCAAACCATGGCTTGCCAGCCTCCTGTTTACCACTCTAATGGTCTTTCTCACCACTCCCCCTCACATTCTCGACACCTTTCTGGGAGCCTTCTCTCATCGCACACGTCTGGGGTTTGATGTTCCTCTTCTGTGCTCTCG